TCAGAAGATGGTGGGATATGGCCCTAAATTACTACAAAAAGACCGGGCGGGAAGGATATGGTATTCTTCCAGGCCCTAGTCACCACGCCAGTGGTAGTATTACTCTTCCCGACGCTGCGTCGACAATGTTGAATTGGAGCGCAAGCACTTCCTCCCGTTCCGCATATCGTACTTTCACTGCGCGAAGCCTGGATGCCGAAGTTCTCTGCGAGAACTTGAATGCTCCCAACTCGCCAACCGTGCTATTCCAATCTAATGGGAGGTACAGTATTATCTCGGTGCCAAGCCCCGCCAGCTGGAGGCTCGAATACTATTCAGAGACTCAGAGTCTGCTGCTAGAGAAGCTGCAGGATTGCCATGGGACAGAAAGCGCCCCGAGTAGGCAGTCAGGCACAGAGAACATTATCGAGAGATCCTTGTCGGTCTCTCAATTCTGGGATATGCTGAGGTTTGTGATGGACATGAAGAAGGTTGATTCGGGAAGTCTCACTGTTCCATTCTGGGGAGGTTTCCTGGGTTACTTTTCCTATGAAATGGGACTTGCCTGTCTTGCACGTCCCAAAACAGCTGCGGAAATCCATCCGACCAGCAAAATTGCCGGAGACGACCCTGCCGACGCCAGCTTGCTGTGGACTGAAAGGAGTATCGTTGTGGACCAAAAGACGGGTCGAATCACAGTCCAGTCAACACGGGCTGACGATGATCTACCGACTGGATGGCTCCATCAGACCGAGCAGTTTTTACAAGACCTTGCACTTAGCAGGAGTCAATGCAAGGTCTGCACCAACAACACGGAGGCAGAGTTTTTAGATTCTATCCTCAAGCAGAGCGTTATCAAGTTCCCCACCCAGGAGAATTATCAGAGGCAGATCAAGGCTTGTCAGGCTGAGTTGGAGGCTGGTGAATCGTACGAACTATGTCTCACTGGCGAAACGTTGATTACGTTACCCTCTCCAGTTAGTCGGAGTGACCGTGCCAGTTTCCCCTGGAAGCTGTACAAGCGTTTGAGGAAGTACAACCCCGCCGCCTTTAGTGGCTTTGCGCGACTAGGCCACGTCAAGATTGTCAGCAGCAGCCCTGAATGCTTCCTCAACTGGGATCGGGACTCTACGCTGGAAATGAAGCCAATGAAGGGTACTGTGAGGAAAACCGAAGATATGACCATGGAGAAGGCCAGGGAAATTCTTGGATCGACGAAAGAGATGGCGGAGAATCTCATGATCGCGGATCTGATCCGTCACGACCTCTACGGCATCTGTGGCTCTGGCGGCGTCCACGTGGAGAAACTCCTGGAAGTGGAGGATCACGGACGTGTTTACCAGATGATCACTCATGTCAAAGCCAGGGTTGATCGAAATCGGCCCGGATTTGCCGCACGGGATATGCCGCAGTTACCCTCCTCGAACATGTCCGGATACGGACTGACCGCGTTGCAAAGATGTCTGCCGCCTGGCTCAATGACTGGTGCCCCTAAGGAACGCTCATGCATGCACCTCAGCTCAATCGAGGACCGAAAACGTGGGATCTATTCGGGCGTCATGGGCTTCCTGGACCTCGGTGGCGGGGGAAGCTTCTCAGTCCTCATCCGTACGGCTTTCACCTGCTCAAATGAGCAAGATGACGAGCAACTCTGGCGAATTGGCGCCGGGGGAGCTGTGACCACTCTGAGTACTCCCGAAGGGGAATGGGATGAGATGTTGACCAAATTGCGTACGGTTTGTGGGATTTTCGCTCCGCTTAACCCATAGCGAGCGCTCCTTCTTTCTTGTGATGATGTTATGGGCACTTAAGGCGAATACTTCAACATTTGCAGCGATTTTATACGATTTGCATTAGACGATAGAGGTCGATTCAACATTCAGCGTGGGGGGCTTGGGGCATGGCGTTATGTTACTCGGATACCTCATGTTATTCCTCATGAAGGAATTATAGGTCATTAGACGAATGTATATACGTACTCGTCCACTGTCTCTGTACCTTGCAGTTCCTATGACCATCAGTATTCTGTACCACTGTAATTTGGGCTTTACCTGGTAATACCTATGCGGCAGCTATGTAACGTTGCAAACATTCCAAACATCACTATCTGTCTCCGCGGAGAGCTATCAACTGGATATCTGAGGTCACACCAGCGATCCCTGGGAAGACAATTGAGCTTCGCTGCGACCTAGCTCTCGATCTATACACGTGTGTCAACTTTGGTATATTCCGGACGTTTAAGGAGCGCCTCAATGGCCGGTCCTCAAGATGCTTCGTTAGAGGAGATTCTCTGGCGGTCTCCCCCGCACGTCCAGATGATGGGAGGATATCTGCACTCGAATAACAGTAAGGGCAGCTTCTCTGGGCTTAGCAAGATTGCAGATTTCAGAACCAACTTTTGACACGATGGGCAACGATCAGTTTTGTTCTATTTCGCAGAATCACCCTTCTTCGATGCCACCTCGAATAACGCCTCCCTCGCTATCCAGGCCAACTACAATGAAGCCTTTCGCCATTTCGTCGAGACCCGCGAAGCCTTTGAAGGGCGTTTGCGGACTATGCAAGGCCTGGAGTTTGTCGTCGCTTACGATCCGTTGCAAGCCGCTGCGCAAACAAATACCCAGTTCGCTCACGAACCCTCGAACGTGTGGGTAATTCGCAAGCAGACGCGGCGAAAGCGCGCTGGTCAGGAAGATGAGGTGGTGGTCCTGGCGACATTCTTTGTGGTGGGGGACTGTATCTACATGGCTCCCTCGGTTGCAAGTGTCGTTGGTAACCGCATTGTAAGTTTACAATGGTTCTATTCCTCGTGCCTGTGGGAAGGCATCGCTGACTGAATTGCATCAGCTCTCTGCTGTCACATCCCTAACCAGTCTACTCAAAACCGCATCGACGCTGCCAATCTTCACCCCGGTCCATGGGCATACCTATCTACCACCGGCTCCGAAACCGGCTGATGCCGGTCAACCTGGCGTCCCGTCTCAGCAGAGCAAGGAGAACACGCCCATGCCCGATGCAGAGAATCCGGCCAGAGTCCCGCTGGTGGGGTCACAGACGGGGAACACTGCTTCTACATTCCAGGATACGAGGACACTCGCCGAATCGCTAAATCTGTTTCTCAGGTACGAGGACGAGTACATGGATGAGAATCCGTTGGTCGGCGAGCCTGGATCGTTTATCATGTCCAAGGCCAATGACGTGGATCGGACGGCGACAGCAAAACAGCCGCCAAATATGATCCCTACCAAGATGGGGACTCCGTTGGTGAGAGTGGATACACCAGGGAAGGTGCCGGAGAAGGTCGGCACTCCGTCGAGCTCAGATGAGAGTAGATTAAGGAAGAAAAAGGGCCGAGTGGGCGGTTGAGCCAATGTCTTCCCGCTACTGCATGAGACTTCTACAAGATACCCCAATGCTGATCTAATATTTATATGACTATTTGCAAATAAAAGCAAGCGTAGTTCTACATTATCAGATTTAGATGAAGTTAGGACAGGTGGCAGTACAGCAATGCTGACCATTGCATCCAGAAATGGATTTGTCAAGCAATGTATAGGTAGGCGGCAGCAACTTCACGAAACCCACCCAGATGACTCATAAGGCAGCAAGAGAAGATGGTCAAGCAATGGTCCATAGTCTAAACATGGTTAGATTTTCGAAATGATATCCGAATAAAAAAAGAGGATATCATTGTTATTTGGTCTTTCTGACTTCACTGATCCTAAGGCTGTGGATTGTAACTGGCTTATCCAAGGGATATATATAGTCACCCACTTAACAACGAGTGTCTCTGAATGTGACGCTGGACACATATCCTTTCATTCATTCATAGCATTATAGCATAGACCCTTCAATCTGCGAAACACATAGCGATCACCATGGGCACCACACAACAAGACAAGCCTGCAGTCGTCTGTGTCTTGTAAGCTACCCCTCCCCTACCCCCGCCATCCACCGCAAACGCCATTGCTCCAAACAACAAACTCTCTGCCTCTTTCCATGGCGAAAGCTGATTAACACAATACAATCCTCTCCAGCTGCGGCTCAGTGGCAGGCAATGACCCCATCCACATGGAAAACGCGCGCGCCCTAGCCCACGAATTCCACAAGAACAACGTCCAGCTCGTCTACGGCGGCGGCACAAAGGGCCTGATGGGCGAGCTGGCGCGCACGCTCGTCTCCCTGTCCGGCCCGCAGGCGGTCCACGGCGTGATCCCCCGGGCGCTCGTCCGCGTGGAACCAGGCTACGACAACAAGCGGGAGGGAGAGAAGCCTGCGGAGAAGAGCGGGAAGAGCGCCGAGCGGACCATCAAGGAACCGCTCGACAAGACCGCTCTGCTGGGCGAGTCCGAGTACGGGATCACGACGATTGTGCCGGACATGCATACGCGGAAGCGCCTTATGGCTGAGAAGGTCAGGGAGGGGGGTCCTGGTTCGGGCTTTGTGTCGCTAGCGGGTGGGTTTGGCACCATTGAGGAAGTCATGGAGATGACGACGTGGAATCAACTGGGTATTCACCACCTGGGGATTGTGTTGCTGAATGTCAATGGGTATTGGGACGGGCTGTTGTCGTGGGTGCAGACTGCCGTCAAGGAGGGGTACATTGGGGCAGACAACGGCAACATCCTAGTCGAGGCGAAGGATCCTCGCGAGGTTCTGCCGAAGCTGCTGGAGTACCGGGTTAGCAATGGCAGGATGGACTTGGATTGGGGCCAGGAATGAGTTCAGCCCAACGGGATTGTTCTATCTTCGGCTAGAGGGCTATTTTGACTAACAGTTCGGATACATGATGGGATGAAATAGACCTAGACGGTTGATGCAAAGCAAGAGATACTACTATTACGAACTGGAGCATTAAGTTTTGCACGATCCGTGATGGATCCAAATCCCACAACCATATCCCGAAGTCAGAGCGTACTACCCAAGATGCCGGAGTATAGAATAAGCATAGGGAAGCGGATCCACAAGAAGAGGAAAGAGATCAAGCTTGCATATCTATCGGCGTTAAAGTCCAAAGGGAACTATGAATCGACCTCCATCGACTCCTCTTCTTTCGTCTCCCCGGACTCTGTCTGCTCAAGAGCTTCCAGCAACGGTGAGATGCTCTGGCCATCATATAACTTGAAGGTCTCGATCTTGCTTGTAGCCCCTTCTCCAACAAGGCCCACCACGCCGACAGATGTGTTTTCCACCGTCAGCTCCTTGTCATGAGACAACGTTTCTTTCAAAGCCCGAAGTCCGTGGCTAATCAGCTCTTCCCGGCTGCAGTCGGCGAACTTGTCCAGATTCCGCTCCAAGTAAGTCCGCGCCATTTGCGAACGAGCCCCGATGGCGCAAGCAAGCATCTCTTGAATCATGCCGGACGGCTGAAATTCGAACAGATGGGGCCCAGCCTCGTCGACACCTGCAACGAGCAGACCGACACCGTATGGTCGCTTGCCATATTGCTGAGTGTTGGTCTGGGCGCGATCGCCAATTTGAGTAACGATACGATCCACTGGCAGTGGGCGGCCGTAAGTCATTCTGGAACCAAGGCACTGTTGCTTCATGTAGTTGGAGAGCACACGAGCGTCCGATGCCAGACCGGCGATAGCAACGCCCATATGGGAGTCGACTTCGATGATCTTCTTCTGATAGGAGGATAGTTCTTCGGCATTTCGCTAGAAGATAACAAATCAAACCGTATTAGCATACAGCTATCCTCTACGATGGTAGCAGGTAAATCTGAGGACTGTTCGAACCTTTAGACCGACAAGCACGGCATGTGTCTTGTTGACAAGTCCTACGACAACTGATCCTTGCTTGACTGCTTCCTGTGCATATTCAACCTGGAATATCCGGCCTTGCGGCGAGCTGTCCCAATCAATGGTTTGTCAGTTATGATAAAGCTTTATATCATGGATAGGAGAGCTCGGTGGTCCTACAAGGTGACCGCATCGTTGTCGTAATTGTTTCTGAACATGATTGCGGGCTATGGTTGAGGTGGGAGTGTAGTAAGGAGGATTCGGTCTTGGTAGAATAGTGCCCCTGTGAAGCTCAATAGCAACAGGACGAAATGGAAAAAAAAATTGATGATGTAGAGAAGGGGGAAGAGAAACAAGCGCAGTATCGAAGCAGGCAGTGAGCGACTGACGCGGTAACCTTCAGCAACTGACAGTAGTAAGGGAAGCTCTCCGCCTGCTGGGTAAGCTCGGGCCTGTGTGCCTGAGGCGCCAATGCCCCATTGCCAACGTCACCTCCACAGCTACAGCTGTGCCGCTAGCCCACGCTTATCACTCAAACCGACCCAGACCGTCTCGATGCAGACAAAACAGTCCCTGTGATTTGAATCATATCTGGTATCTGGAGACAAGTCGTTGCTGGCACTGTTTACAGAGAACGAATCCCTTATATCTCACCTGCCTTGGGCCCTTCGAGGTCCTGTATCTCCGCAGTCATGATGGCAGGTCTTAAGACTATTATCGCGCTCTCCTTTGTGAGTCCCTCATTATTTATTGTTGCTTTGGTGCCGCGTTGTACTGATCCAATACCCTTACTGCTTAGGTTCTTGCCATTGGCTTTCTTCTGGTCATCCTCTCCTCCGCTCTTTGGCACAACTTCCTCCCGTTGATCGTGGTCGCGACATATGTCATCGCTCCTCTACCGAACTGGATTTGCGCTCGCTGCGCTAATCCGGATGATTTTATGGACAGTTCTGGCAATGCAGTAGCTGATTTTGGGCGTTTTTTGACTGGCTTCCTGGTGTTGATGGGTATTGGTAAGTTTGTCCAGCCTACTGCCATCCTCTTTCCTCTGTCGCATTTGCGTCTCATGGGAAACCCTCATTATATGCCTTGCAAATCTTTTGTCATATGACTGGTGTCTAATGAGGATGACTCTAGCCCTGCCGGCCGTGCTTGCGCATAGCGGCGCTATCCAGATCCCTGCCATGGTCATGTCCATCCTTGGAGGTCTTCTGATTTACGGCACTATCATCAGTTTCTCGATGTTCTTCAGGGAACAAGAGGAATTTTGATCTCTGTAAGGTGTCAGCTGCAACGGGGAACGCTCGGGGGCGGATACTTTCTCTACGAAATCATTCCAGCAGATCGTTCATAAAACCTCTGTGAGGCCTGAGGGCACTGGCTCATCACAAGTGACGAGTTGTGTTTTTTTTTTTCCCGCTTGATTTGACCTACGGTTACTCTTATGTGAAGTTTCATGAACTGCAGCCTATTTCATTTGACCCTGCTTTTGTCAGCGATACGAACGGTGTACTATAGCCGATGCGAAGTTATATAGAGCATTGCCACGGTATTTCTTGGATTATAACCCTAGCTGGACTTGAGCTTCGACTATCATTTTTAATTTCATCCAATATATTTGCACCGTATTGGTATGTAGACATGATTTCAGATAGTGCCATGTCGACTAAGTAGTTTACACAGACGGAGTCTCCAGCACGTGACCTCGCGCCAGTATCCAGAGCGCGTTCGTGTTGCAAGTGGAAACCTCCCACTACAGCAGACTAGCAAAGTGCGCCTGTATCTGTACCAGCAAATCTTCACATTGGCAAAATATGTGATTCTTGGCCATATAATTATTCTACAATGGACATCTGGTCTGGATCCATTGCGCTGGACAGGCAATCTCTGCTTCGAGGTACCGCTTCACGCGTCTGAGCCCTCTGCTTTGCGCGCTGCTCACTACCCAATTCACAGGTTTACGACTAATCGACCAGACATCGAATTGGCAACCGGATACGCTCAAAGACTCAAGTTTGGCCTTTCGCTGCTTCATTAATCCCGCACTGGTACCCTTTTATGCCAGAACTGGACCGAGCCTTGAAGTACACACAGCTGACGTGGAAACATCGCAATGGCTTAAGAGCAAATTACTGAGCAACGTATGGTTGGAGGAGGAGGAACTAGAAGAGTTCCAGACATTTCAATGTCCGGTTGGAATCCTTCTCAGTATCAACAGACCACCTCGAACCAAGGCCTCTGGTCTCCTTACAACAGATCTATTGGTCCATGGTGTCCTGTCAAGCGCAGCCTTAGTTGAACGGCCACCTACTCCACCTATCTCGTCTTCTCCCGGGCCCTATGAGTATGCATCTCATGTTCAGAAGCAGGAACTGAGAATCTACGCGACCCCGCTCTCTTCGTCCCTCATCACAAAGTCTCAGGCTCTTTGTTCTCCTCCGCGAGATCCGGACGGGCTTGCCAGCGATGGACGATTTGCTGAATTTCTTCCCGACATTCGGTCACCCAGTCCCAAGCGTAAACGAGTTGCTACACTGTTTGAGACAGCTGCTCAGCATCACAAGAAAGTGCGACAGAAAGGAGGAGAGGCAGTCTCCCAATTGATGGCCAGCTCGCTTTCTCATTGCTCCCAGCATCTACAGACTTTCAGAATCAAACGTGAGTCCGAGGAACCGTCGCTGCCGTTATTAGAAAAGATAGCCTTTCAGCGGTCGCGGTCATTGTCCATTGGAGCCAATCTGCATCCCCTCAAACCCTCTGATCTTCGAAATGAACAGTCCCGACCCAGCAGCCGCAGAAGCCACTTTACTTCGCGGAAGAGCACCCCGAATCCAGTGGAATCTAACTTCCGAAGGGAACTGTCGACGGCGTTGCCGTCTTCGGACGACAAGCTGGAGCCTTCTGAGACACCTAAGGATGCCGAAACCATTATTTCTGAGAATAAAAACACCATAACTCGTACGATCTTGACATGCATGCGATTGTACGGTTTCAATCGTTCATCGCGGCCTACAAGCACAGCCAAAAATGGCACTGGGACCAATTCCGATATGAATTTGTCCACGGAGGTAGGGGCAACTTCTACTACCGACGAAGATGAGTTCAAGTCGATGTATCATGCAACTTATCGCGCATCAACATTTGCACTCCGCAAGTATCTGAAGCAATGCCCCAGTACCGACGAGGCCGGAAAGGACCTTCCACCTTTGCTAGACAAAGACAAGGCAATGACGTATATAGACGAGTTCTTGAGGCTATTTTGTGAAGAGAATTGATATCTGTCTGGTACAGATTAATGAGATATGATGTCATGAATAATTGATCTTGAAGCAATTGAGATGGTCTACTCTAGATTTGAGCTCTCAATGTTATGATTTTGAGCTTTTTTTTTTGTAGACTGTAACCGCCTACCTGACTCACTGTACAGCAGTATTCGCAAAAATAAATCCAACAAATTCAGAATGATCGTTCCAAATGTCCCTGGCGACATAATCCCTGATAGAGATATGGAATAGGCAAGGATGCATCAGGCGCTACGCCATGTGTCGGATATTGTGAATCTCCGAGCTCCGGGCACCGACTGCATCATAACCCCAGATAGCTGCGCATCCGAACGTCGATCGAGCAAATATACATACTTTTTTACGCCTACGGTCGGAGCCATAGCACAGCTACTCGATATCGCATTTTTGACTCCGACAAAAGCTTACAATGGAAGTTTCCAACAACCGTCTCTTCCGATGGTCCAAGCCTGAATGGCTGAATAACTCGACCGTCCGCAATGCGGGCGTCTACACGTCGGGAGCTTTGGTGAGCTAGACCCCGTCTTCTTAGACGCAACGCAATGCAGCACAAGAGTGACTGACCATATTACTGCCATCAGTTCTCCCTTGGGTTCTTCTTCCTCGTCGATGCGGCCGCATTCTCACACAGCTCGCTCAACGGGTCAAATGTAAACGTCAAGTTCGTTGACTGGATTCCCGGCATCTGCTCGGCGCTCGGGATGTTGGTGATCAACTCGATCGAGAAGTCGCGGTTGCAGGCGGATAGCTTCAGCTATAGCGGGAGCGGAGTGGCCTGGAAGGCGCGGTTTGTGCTGTTCCTGGGGTTTGCGCTTCTCGCGGGCGGCTTGGCCGGGAGTGTGGTTCGTCTCTTCTTTTCTTTGTTCTTGGTGCGGACGTTGAGGACTGAAAATGCTGACTGGGAATGGAAATAGACTGTCATGGTCTTGAAATATTTGATCAAGCAATACCCGCTACCGACGCTGTATTTTGGAATCGCTAATGTCGTTGCCAATGGCTTGGTCATGCTAAGGTTTGTTGATGCGTTTCCTGCAGCTACATCTATCTCGGTTGCTGACTGATTTGCTACAGTACTATTGTTCTATGGATCTCGCAAAACATAGAAGATGATTACACCTACAACCTCGCGTTGTAGCCATGGTCTGATTTTGGATTTTGTGCGTTGTTCGATGTGTTCTGGGCACGAGTAGGAGCATGCCCAGTGCCGTCACAGTTATACGCTATTTGTTTTTCGTGGACTGGCGCACTTGTACTCGATGGTTTTCTGTACTTTCAGCCTGGCATAGCTACGCTCATGTTTATGTTTATACTTGATGAATGGTTTTAGAATTTGAATTCCGAAGATCACAAACTTGCTTGCGTAGAGAACTAGCGTAGCATATTGAAAATGGTCGTTGGGCAGGCATGTATACAGTGCTCTAAGCATTAAAATAAGAGTACCTCGCCTAAGACTAGGCAGCGAGCTTTCAAATATTATTTGAAACAGCGAAGATTACGCAAGCTGACGCAAAGGGAAAGTTAATTTTGTTTTAGTAGTTATTGATCTATATGTATGCGTACAATGCACGTGGCACATGATTATGAGTCTGCACTACATACAAGCTTCGTCCCTCGAAGCAGAGGTCGGAAGTGCAAAAATAGCAGCCTAGCGGAGTCATGCTCAACGCTTGACTTCGCCTGATTTCGCCTGATATACAGGTGGGAGGACGAGACTCCGTCAAGCACAGCTTGCTCGAATTGGAGCTACTATGTTTTAATACAACCGAGCCCGGTGGTCGCCCACCGACAACCCAGACACGCGGGGCCACGCGCAGTAATGGCGGGTGACAGGGACGGCCGTATTTCTGCCTCTATCGGAGCCATTCATCCGGTTCGTGAAGATCACTCGTGTAGTAGCATCACAGTGGATGAGGGAGTATGTCGAATTGCAATGCAGATGTAGGTTCACGCGGAGACTTCAGACGGGTGAGCCCTGAGTTTGTCCAGCAAGGCATCGATAGCATCCATATCTGCCGCATCGATCTTTTCTCCGCGAGTATATCCTTCGGGAAGGTGCTTGACGAACTCGTCCATGGCAGGTTGGTAGTTGCGGACTCCGGAAGAGATGGCGTACACTGCCTTCTTGCGAGCGGCGGGTGCCGGGTCTGAGGTGGACATGGCCACGAGGGTTGGGAGGACGTTGAAAACGATGAGCTGCAGATTGACCTGTTAGAATTTTTCTCCACAATAAAACTGAAGGTGAGCCTGAACAAAGCACGTACCTTATCCTGCGCTTTTTCGTTATTCTGCACGGCGGTTCCGATGCACCAGGCGGCCATGCGTCTCATTTCGGCTTCCTCGTGCTTGAGCAGTTCCACGAGCGGCGTCCACAGACCCAGTGGTTCCAGATTGTTCGCATTATCAATGGATTCAATGAGTTGTTCGAAGTTGTCAAATGCGATCATCTTGTTCTCGAGATCGACTTCGTCCGAGTGAAGCGCTTCCATGGCGGCTTTCATGAGGTCGGCATCTGAAGGGCCACCGAACAGAGCGGAGAGCATCTCAGGGTTCAGATTGCTGCGAGAGGTAGGGGCGGGAGCAGCGCCATTGGAATCGCCGGCCTGTTGGGCTGGGGTTGAGTTCTCGATACTCCATTTGAGGAGATTGTTCATGTTGGGGTCCATGGTGATGATCTGAAAGTGATTTGCTCGATGCTTGAAAACTGCGATCCCTGGAGGATGTGCTCGCTCACAATATAGCAATCGATGTATGACGGTGATATTTCAGATATTAAATTGAAATTCAATTGAATGAATTTGGATTGAATGTAATGTAATCTTTATGACGAAGAAAATGTGTCAGATAATTTTCTTATCACTTTATTTTGGAGTACTTAGATGGGCGGCGGTATTGTTCTGACGAATCGAGATGATTCATGCACGTTCCACCCGCTTCCACAGCCAGACACAGCACGACACCAGTAAGAAAAGAATTGTTGCATAGAGTGAGTTGTTTAGGGGCGGATTCTACATTTTGGATTGCCAATTGAGGGCGTAAGCTTTAAGATCAACAGTATACCTTTGCTCTAGATCGTTAATATAGGACAATGTGGTGGCTGTTTAGGACTTGCTCTTCTAGAAGCTGCCCCGCCATCCGCCGCTTAACCCCGCGATGAGGTATGGCTGAAAACTAATATGGTCACCAGCTGTTCCAAGCGTGGTGTCTTGAATGTTGGAACCCAAATAAGGTTTTTGAGTGTGGCTCTTCAGTTTTCTCAAGTATGTGTGTGTATGGTAGATGCATATGAGAAGGGATTGAATCTCCAATGTTGCTCCTGTTCAGTGGAGGATCTGAAGTCCTCCCAAAAGGCGGTGAGGTGAGAATGTGAGCCCAGAACTAGATCTCTGTCTGTTCAAGATGATAGGAGAATGCGGAAGATCATTGACATTTAGAACGGGTCAATCAGGCACTCATGCACATGGAGTCAGTAATAACAACAGAGTCCGGAGACTATTCCGTACTACCATTGTACTAATGTTTGTAGACTGTAAACCATTTTGGCTGATTCTTCCGAGTGATTGGCTGCTATGACCTAATCTTACAGGGGTACTTGGTAGAGAATTAAGAGAAAACGCGATACTTCTACGTGCAGTAGGGTTCTGTAGCATATTGCGATGGCTGGTCATCAGAATATATTCAAATATGGAAGAGTACTGAGTACCTCCATATTGCAATGAATGGTAAGTGGAAACCTAGGACTCAGGGTTAGGCCTAGTATTCGATGATCGGTAAGGTAATCTAGCTAATGGGATGAGGATGAACCCTTTTCTGGTTCGCCCAGTGACAGGAGGAGCCATTCCCAAGCTTCCGATTATGATTATTGAGGCATTGAACATCTATTTCTGGTTCATGGATAGGGATCAGCCCCACGACGCATGCGCAATTGTTTTTGCCATCCTTCTGACCTCGTGAAAGGCCACCTAAGCTTTACCACTCACTGCTCAAAATGCTTCCTTTCAGGTTGAAATGATTCTGCCTTAGGGGATTTCTAGACTTCCTTTGGACTACGGCATGGGACGACTTACTCTGCTGAGCATCATTCATCAGCAGCCGCATCATCATCCAGAGGCAGCAGTATTCTGGAACAATTAGCATTAGTCTAATCTGATCACGATAAATTCAACGTCAAATAGGCATCACCTTTGCAGTCTCAAATATTCTGCATGATCTCTCTGTAGCTAAGGTATAAATACTTTTGATAAGGGTATTAGTGGCGGTGGACAGCCTCCTATACGAAGCGGCACCAAACCCGGACGACCCTATTTTGTCTCTGATCCAAACACACCAACATCATCACTGTCAAGGCCACTCATACTCATTCCACCTGGTCAAAGAATCAATATCATCATCGTCCTAAACAATACTCTTGGTAAAAGAAAGAGTACTAAGATTGGGTGGTGCAGCTGGGACTACCTTACCTTAGCGTCTTGCCTCTTCGCTTTCTTTCCTTGGTCCAGTCCAAGCCCACCTCAGCGAACACTAGTCCACTCCGTTTTAGTCCCCTCTCTCCCTTCTCCTACTCCTCCACCCCCCGACCAATACCACTTACTTACAAAGTTACGGTTACCGCTAACCCAACCAGCCAGCCAGCTAGCTATCTTCCTTTCTCTCGCTCTCACTCTCCTCTCTCTCTCTCCCTACTTCGAACTTCTCTCCCTCCTACACAACTGCCTTTCCCAACTTACGTACTCAAACTCAACTTTCCATCCACCTCCCCTCTATCTCGTTTCCCCCTCCATCGTCTATCTCTCTCCCTCTTCTCTTTAATTTTCTTTTTTTCTTCTCTGTAGTTTTCGCCTTAATCCTATTTCTGTCACCATGGAAGGTACGTTGTTTCTGACACCTCAACAGCTTTGCTTGGGTTCCCTGTCACCAAACAACCCCCGTTCCACCACCGTCCCCCTCCTGCTCGCTTGCTTTACACCCACATAGCGAACAACAACTGACAATTGCATCGTTCCAATTTACAGAAGAAGTTGCTGCTCTCGTCATCGACAATGGGTATGTTTTTCATCTTCAGCATTATTGATGGTTTCTCTCTCGACTTGGGCGTTGTTTATCCAAGGAATCCCACTCCTGAGCCTCCTGACCGGCCGAGCTCTCGGTCGCTCAACTGGCGCCTTTTGCACCTTCCAGCGCTGGCATCGGTTGCCTCTCTCGGAGTGCTGCACATGGGTTTCCTTCTATTCAAAGCGGAGAGAGAATGCTCTTGAGAGGATGAACGCAATAATTCGTATCTTGTACTGACGCTTGGTTTGTAGTTCGGGTATGTGCAAGGCCGGTTTCGCCGGTGACGATGCTCCCCGTGCTGTCTTCCGTAAGTCAACCCCTCACCCCATAATGCTAGATATCCGAAGTCAACCCCTCCTACCATGTGTCATCCCTTGATGTCACTCTGCAGGATGTCGCCGGGGGATGTGTCAATTGTTGCCCTTGCGTCGGGTGGCTACTCCCTACTGGCGGCTTCCTCTCCCTGAATCATCTTGCGCGACAGCTTAATTTGAGTAAATTAAATGCTAACTTGCGAGATAGCCTCCATTGTCGGTCGTCCCCGTCACCATGGGTAAATAACCCCCCTTTTCTAATTCTGAGCTGTTGCGCTAGCTCGAATCATTGTTGCTGACGTTTTCAACGCAGTATCATGATTGGTATGGGCCAGAAGGACTCGTATGTCGGTGATGAGGCACAGTCGAAGCGTGGTATCCTCACCCTCAGATACCCCATCGAGCACGGTGTTGTCACAAACTGGGATGACATGGAGAAGATCTGGCATCACACATTCTACAACGAGCTCCGTGTCGCTCCTGAGGAGCACCCTGTCCTCTTGACCGAAGCCCCCATCAACCCCAAGTCCAACCGTGAGAAGATGACCCAGATTGTCTTCGAGACCTTCAACGCTCCCGCCTTCTACGTCTCCATCCAGGCCGTTCTCTCCCTCTACGCTTCCGGTCGTACCACCGGTATCGTCCTGGACTCTGGTGACGGTGTCACCCACGTTGTCCCCATCTACGAGGGTTTCGCTCTCCCCCACGCCATCTCTCGTGTCGACATGGCTGGTCGTGATCTGACGGACTACCTGATGAAGATCCTGGCTGA